GAAATTGGGTGACATAAAAGTAAATTGTCTGCTGTATGCTGATGATGCAGTGCTTATTGCACCATCAGAGGCAGAACTGCAGGCATTAGTCACGTGTATGAAAGAGGAATGTGAAATTAAAGGTCTCCGTTTGAATGCTAATAAAACTAAGGTTCTGGTATTTGAAAGGGACGAAGAGAGAACGAAGTGTGAAATATGGGTAAATCAGGAATGTCTAGAACAGGTAAATGAAATTGTATACTTGGGGAGTGCTTTTAGCCGGGATGGAAGATGTGATTTAGATGTGGACAGGCGTTTCGCTGCCGGGAACAAAGTCAATGGTGCCCTGACTGCGTTAGGCAAAAGGCAAGGCGTAGCGAAGAGTGCACGCCTTGCAATACATAACGCAGTGTTGGTACCGACTTTGTTATATGGCAGCGAAACCTGGGTATGCCAGAAGAAGCATAAAAGTAAGTTGAATGCAGTGGAGATGCGATCTCTTCGTAAAATGTGCGGCGTTACTATAGCCGACCGAAAGCGAAACGAAGAGATTCGCAATATGGCAGGTTTGAAAGATGACCTTATCACAAAAATTGATAAGGGCGTGCTTCGGTGGTTTGGGCACGTTGAGCGAATGAGTGAAGACCGAATGGTGAAGAAAATATATAGCGCGAAAGTTAATACGAGGGTGGATTGAAAAGTACTCGGCCTAACCAAGAAAATAAACAAATACTAAATCAGTTATATTTTTATTTTTCTACATAATCACCATCAAGTTCAATACACTTTTGCCACCTCCCCTTCCAAGCATTTAGACCGTTGAAAAAAAATGATTCTTCCTTAGAGTCAAAATATGCGTCTACAGCTGCTTTGACCTCGTCGTTTGTCGAAAATCTTTGACCTCCCAAGTGCTTTTTTAGGTTAGGGAACAGAAAGAAGTCTGATGGTGCCAGATCAGGTGAATACGGCGGATGCGGTAACAGTTCAAAGCCACAGTTGTGAATTTCAGCCATTGACTGTACTGACGTGTGAACACGGGCGTTATCTTGATGAAACAGGACTTTTCTTCTGAGCATTCCTCGACGTTTTTCTTTTATTTCCTCTCGTAAACGACGTAGTAAGGTGCAGTAGTAATCAGAGTTTATATTCTGACCCCTTTCAAGATAATCAATCATAATCACACCTTTCGAGTCCCAGAATACTGAAGCCATCACCTTATTTGCCGACAAAATCGACTTAGCCTTTTTAGAGGGTGGTGAACCAGGTCTTCTCCACTGTTTTGATTGTTGTTTTGTTTCCGGTGTACAGTAATGAACCCATGTTTCGTCCATAGTAACAAAACGATTCAAAAAATCATCTGCATCGGCTTCAAATAACTCCAAACAGTCGCGTGAAATAGTCAATCGCGTCCTTTTTTGTTCAACTGAACACAGTCGCGGAACCCACCTCGCAGACACCTTGTGGAAACCCAACTCGTTGACAATGATGTTTTGAGTTCGTTCATAAGAGATGCCTATAATCTCGGCTATCTCTCTAATTTTTAATCTGCGGTCTCCCATTATTAAATCAAGTACTTTTTTAATATTTTCGTCAGTAGTTGACGTCGAAGGCCTTCCAGAGCGGGGTTCATCTTTCACACTCTCTCTACCACGCTTAAATTCTGCTATCCATTTTTTGACGGATGAATATGACAGAGCACAATCGCCTAATGTACTGACCATGTCATCATGGATGGCTTTTGATGATAGCCCCTTCTTATGGAGGTACTTAATGACGGCACGCTGCTCGATTTGCTCCATTCGCGGAAATTATGTCCGATTACTTTGTTAATAAATTTATAAAATCACAACTAATTATCGCACACGTTTCGAACTTCACACAATGAACTAGTCTGAACTGAACTAAATAATGTGGGTAGATTTGATTTTTAGAATTGAATGGATCTGTGTTAGGCCGAGTACTTTTCAATCCACCCTCGTATTAAAAGGTGTCGAGGTAGACCAAGACTAACTTTCGAAGACCATGTGAGCAAATTGCTCGAAGAGGGTAGGGTCAAGAGTACTCGGATACCTAGACGTGCATGCATGAAGAAGATAATGAATCTGAAAGAAGCGAAAGAGGTTTGTAAGGATCGTGACACTTGGCGATCTGTTCTCTCTGGCTACCCCGTCAGGGATTATGCGTGAAGATAAGTAAGTAAGTAAGTAAGTAACTAATTAAGAAACAAGATTATAAGTTTGTATGGAGCAAACGCAAATTGATGATTTTGTTGATGAAATACAAGTTAATCAAGTATTATATAACAGTACTAGATAATAAATACAAAGTTCGAAGATTTCCTTCCAAAATTATAACATTTTTATTAGAGTTGAATATGGAAGATTTCTTATTTATGTAATAAAAATGAACAAACAATTTACATTAACATACAAAAATATTTATGCACATTAAGGAAGATGACCTAGCAAAATTTTTGGGAAGTGACAATTGATTGACAGGTTTATCCAGCTCATTGTAAGATAAACACAGTATAGACGTCTTGATAAGAAACTGACTAGGTACTTGTTGAGCTGGTCATATCTATATGTAAAGATTAGTTCTACAATAGAACTTTAATAATTCGAACAATCAAGAATGTACAAAGCCTTAAGGTTAAGTAGTATGTAAGTATTTTACAAGGCATGACAAAAATAAAAGGGAAACTGACTTGAATAGTCGGTACTCTATTTCTGCTTAAAAGTCTGGAAAAACCTTTTACCTATTTTTTCTGATAAGCTACATTACGTAAGAGTTGTGTTCTTGTTTGAATGATAAAAAATGATGCATTGCATGTTAAGGCTTGGATATACTTAGGGACAAAACGAGCGACATGTTGCTCAACAACTATGTGGAATGTCCCGAGACATATGTCGCAGAACATTTTACAGGCTACAGTAGTCAGTGCTTATAGAAATGTCGCCCGAGCAGGTAGTGGGGATTAGTGCTGCGTACATAGTACTTATTTGGAGAATAAAACGTAAGCGAAAGAGAAGATGGTAGATGCGGAATTTCTTACTACAACAAGAAGAAAAAAGAATTAATATTTTAAGTGATCTCTGAATTTTACTCAAATATCAACATCTGATTTTGAAACTTTATTACAAATGATCGGACCTTCTATAGCCAAACAGAATACAATATTACAAAACGCTGTTCGCCCTCATATCAGATTTGCCATTGCATTAAGATACTTGTGGACTTGAGATTCTTATGCTTCCTTGTCGTACACTTTTCGAGTGTCGAAACAACTGATCTACAGAATAGTACCAGACGTTTGTTGTTTTAAGTGTCCCACTACAAAACATGACTCTGGTAATGATCAAAAAGTGAAAGCACGGTTTCGTTTCCCCGCACTAGTGACATGTTGCAAGGCAAGTTGCGCATACAACTACACCGGGTAACAAATGGCGCGGCACTGATGCGGGACACGTGGGCTCGCTCCCGGAGCAGGAACAAGCAACATGTCCTGCTTCACGTAAAATGTTACAGGCCATTTTGCGGGCCACTGTGCAATGTTGCATCGTCACGTAGATTGAGTGTAATGCGTAATGTTGCTGGACAATATGTCCTCTAGTGTATCCGGGGCATTAAGGTAACATAACATGAAAAATTGAAGTTTTCTAGTACTTGTAACTCTGCTTTTACTAAAGAAATACTCACTCCGATTCTGTCCTTGCTCCATGCTTGTTCGATCATGCTGAATACGCGCTCGCAAGAAGCATTAGAGACAAGAATGGAAAGAACAAACGTGAGCATTTTTTTCAATTCAGGACAGGGATGTATCTATAAGTTTCCTATTTGAGTTGGGCACATAAATTCATGGGCTATGGTAGCCACTTACAATTATAAGACACACTGGTAGGTCATTTGTCACTTAAAATATTTAAAAAAAAATTGGTTTTTATAATTAATTACCTGATACCCACGACTTTGTCCACATTGTTTAATATATTAAGAAAACACACATCACTGAACACGTAGTGCTTATAAAAATCGTTGATCCTTAAAACTTTAATAACTTTATATTACTTCATTTTAAAACTAGTGATCCATCCCAGCTTCAAATAGGTGATTTCTGAATCTCGACAACAGTGCCACCTACCAGGTCCAAATGTAAACCATCCCACCCATTAAAATACACACAAAAAATTTCATCGAAATTGGTCAATTTAATTTTAGAGTTTCAACGAGACTAATAGACAGCAATTGATTTGTATATATAGAGATAATGAGGTAACAAAATGGGAGATTAACAAACAAACTTTCCATAACTAGATTGTATGAAACGGTATAAAACTTAAATGCTCTTGAGTGAAGTGAGCTCAGTCACTGTGCATTGGTAACATTTAAGTAACAAAATACTTAAATAATAATTTATAAACAAAATAACTTGTTTTTCATGTTTGACTACTCAATACTCTTGCTTTAAGCATTTTTGTTTGTCAAAAAACCTAGTTTGCCTTGATATACCTACATAATAATTAAAAAGGTAAAAAATTTCAATATTATTTTTCGGTGATACAGCTAAATAGTATGCAACTAAAGAAACAAAACTCTCAAACAAATTACAAAAAAATATACAAAACCTATAATGAAATAACTTTAGTTAAATGATAAATAAGTAATGAGTTTCTGAAACTTATTTAAGTTTTGAATTTTTTATATGGCTGTATAAAAAGTTGGAGGTGTTCAGATTAAATACATTTTTGCATTAGCTGAGGTTCACATATATCAATGGCATGTATGTACCTCATTTAATAATAGCATAATTTTTGTTAATATTCTAATAAATTGTTTCAGTAAGTCTCACTGAAATGAATGACTCGAGGAGTTAACATAAATAAAATTTACAAAAAATTTAAATTATGGTACGATGGTAATATATTCAAGCCGTTTATTATTATATTTTAAATATAATGTAAACTAAAATTAAGCTTTATTGTATAATAATACACATGAATTACATCATAAAAGTAACTTACCTCGCTAAATGAGTATGCGTTTACTTTTGATTCCATTATCACTTAATTTGAAAACCTCTAATTTAAAAATGGTAATAACATTAACAATTGAATCCCTTTTAACTTATGAATCAAAACAATTAAAATGGTAAAAATAAACAAGGAAAAACTTATACAAAATGCAAGCAACAACACTTCTTGCCGCCAACCAGTGTGACCGTTTTAAAAAAGTGATCACTTAAATCATAATGATGCCAGTACTGAATAATACCGGAACATGCTGGATTATAATAAAATTATACTAAAACCATAGACTTGGTATATACTGACATATAGACCAACATAGTGTGCAAGGGAGAAGAAAATTCCATATGGTAAAAATGCAAGATAGAAAAGGATACCAAATGTCATGACTGTAACCGATGTTTTATAATTTTTTAGAGTGTAATAAGTGGTTATTTCATTTAAGTAACTTTTTTGCAAAACGATTACTTAATCTGCGAGTGACTGTGGTGTTGATAATAGAAATAATAATGATAATTACACCTTTGACAGGTAAATTCTCAAGACGTCGTCAATGTTATGACGCGTTTATTTTTGGTTAAAATTTATGTCATATACTGTGTAAAATATAGAAATTTTTCAATTAATTTGTTAATTTTGATATTTTGTAAAGCAAAAAGTCACGTTGTTGATAATTTGTATAAATTTGGTAAATACATTTTAATACAAAATATTTTACATGTACGCTAGGGATTGACTCAACGGATATAGTTGAAATTATAAATTAATGTCGATACTTATCTTGAATGTTTATAATAAATTGATAGACTTGTGCATACAACAAGAAAATAAATCCTCGGTTTGCGTTCAAAAATGTATTTTTATTTTGCATTTTATCAAACAGATTCCCTCCGGATTCTATAATTAGCAAATATGGTTAAGGTTAATTGGACTGGTTGGTTGGAATCCAAAGAAGAACTCAACAATGTGCAGCAAACATTTTTAGCAGCAAACAAAAAAAAGCAGCATAGCATACATTTTCATAAAAAGAATTGTATTAAAAGGAACCATTCCTACATTATTTGTACCAGTAAATATAATATTGTTACAGTACAACTTCAAAAACTATACGTAAATATAAAGATATATATTTATACATTATAAAACTGCAGTATATTAAAAATTAAAAATCTTGAGATTTTTTATATGATAGGGTGACAAACAAGCTCACAGTCCATCTGATGGTAAGTGGTTGCTGTGGCCCATAGACAATTATATCTCTCCTCGTTTGCGAATCAAAATGCAGATGCGTTGTAACCCGTGAGGACTAAGATGGAATGCCTCTTTTCCAGTATAAAGGGTCTCCGGTTCTCTACACTCACTATACAAACACAGCAGTGTTAAGCTGCTATTTTAAGCTGGTATTCTGTGAGAGCGTGGTCCTTCCCCGGTGGGGCCCACCCATTCGAGCTACAACTATACTACTGATATAGATGTGGCATGGCTCTGCCACATAAAAAGCAATCATGCTATTAAAGCAATTATGAAACCAACTGAGTATCTATTCATCAACCAAAAAAAAAACATATAACCTTACTTGACCAACCGCACCTCACGGTCTCATTAGTACAATATTTATAGCATCACGTTATTTTCTCTAAGGGGTTGAGCGGAGCTTCGGATTATATACCCAAGTCACAATGATAAAACTTTTGATGTAGTTAGATATAGATATTTAGTAATTCTCCTGAAGCGCCGCTAGATGCTCGTGCATGAGACGCGTAGTTCAGTTTGCCAGGATACTATAAATTTCATAGTATTTGATACTCACAACGCCCGATGCCCGATTTATGCTTGGTGTCCGACGACAGTGTGTCGAGGGCTAAATAGCGTGGTTCATTGCCTACGGCATTATGCGTACAGGAGAGGAACTTGTGGTTTATTAACAGCTGCGCGGATCAATACTTCTGCGAGATTAAGTTTCGCTTGTCACATTCAGTCCATGGATGGGTCACCGTTTTCTTAACATACCGCGATTGAGAGAATAGACAGTACATGTGTATGCTCAAATACCTGGTACACTTTCGTATCTCCTGCGTATTTGGCTAGTTTGTGTAAGATGATGTTTATAGGAAGACGTTTTCAAGCTTCTGGACTGGAAAGGATACGGTATCAACATCAATGGCGAGTACATCACTCAACTTCGATTTGCCGACGATATAGTCCTTATGGCAGAATCGCTGGAGGACCTAAGCACTATGCTCAATGACCTCGATAGTGTTTCCCAACGGATAGGTCTTAAGATGAACATGGACAAAACAAAGATCATGTTCAATGTCCATGTCACACCTATGCCGGTAGTTGTTGGGAGCACTAAGCTCGAAGTTGTTGACGAGTATGTTTACCTGGGACAAATAGTCCGACTAGGTAAGTCGAACTTCGACCGAGAGGTCAATCGACGGATTCAACTCGGCTGGGCAGCGTTCGGGAAGCTACGACACATCTTCTCGTCAGACATACCTCAAAACCTGAAAACGAAATTGTACAACCAGTGCGTGTTGCCAGTGATGACTTATGGAACTGAGACGTGGTCCTTCACTGCTGGCCGTATGAGGAATCTCAGCGAGCTATGGAGAGGGCTATGCTCGGAGTTTCTCTGCGTGATAAACTTAGGAATGAGGATATCCGCAGTAGAACCAGAGTAACCGACATAGCCCAACGGATTAGTAAGCTCAAGTGGCAGTGGGCCGGCCATATAGCTCGAAGAACCGACAACCGATGGGGAAGAAAGGTTGTCGAGTGGCAGCCTCGTACCGGTAGGCGAAGTGTAGGGCGTCCCCCCACGAGATGGAGTGACGACCTGGTAAGACATGCAGGAAGTCGATGGATGCAGGTGGCTCAGGACCGTGCTTTGTGGCATTCTTTGGGGGAGGCCTATGTTCAGCAGTGGACTTGTGAAGGGCTGTAATGATGAATGATGATGATGATGATGTTTATAAATTCATGCAGCTAAAATAATAATTAATAAGTTTGTTATTTTTCAGGGACAGATGAAAGAAAGAGAGAGTAGTCTCATAAACATATTGGCCTTTAAACAGAGCTAAATAAATTTAACTGATTCCTACAAGTTTCCTTACTTAAATGACTTAAATTATTAAATTTAAATGCATATTTAAGTCGAATGTAAAAATTAATTTTTATAAAGTATTTAATTATTCATTATTAAATTTTGTAATTATTATTATAATAATTATATGAAAAATAAAGCAGCTATTATGTACTCCATGTCCCCGTATTTTATTTCAACAGCAAAACATTTTATAAAGCTGACCAGGCAGACGTTGTTCTGCCCTCTCCGATGACCCTGTGTCCTATAAAAATTCTTAAATTCTTAATAAAAAATATTGAGGGTCACTTATAGGGATAAAAAATATCCTATCTCTCAAGTTGGACCAACCTGCACATAGTGTGCAAAGTTTCATTGCTTTCAGTTTAGAAGTTTAGGAATTCATCGAGCACAAACAATGGGACACGTAATTTTTATATATATATATAAAGTATAAATAGGTTTTTACTTAATTAAGTATCTATCCTACTTATAGCTGATTAACGTTATGTTAAAAAGTTCCGGGGAAACTGTCATGGCAGTAAAGTTTTCTCTAAAGGTCATACATAATTCGAAAATACAACTTTCCGATCTGATTCTTGGAAGAAATTGTTTAAGTTAAGACTCACCTCTTCAAAGGTTATTGGGAATTTGTACATTTTGAATTAAGGGGCTACTCCATGCGAACGACCTTGAGCATTTGGTCCGCCGCGCTGACTCGCTACAATATATCGCTTAAGAAATATGCAAGACGCCACCTACTGTACGAACGTAATATTATTTTTTCAACATCAATAAACTATTTCATGGAAAATGGAAATACACAAAATAATTTAAAAAAAAATGTTGCATTTAATAATTACCATCTATACCAATATAATTTTATGGTGAACACTAATTGTATAAAGTTATAGTGTTTAGAGTATAAATAAACCCATGTCCCGTTTTAAGTTAAAAAATAAATGGTCAGTTTAGTTATAGGGTTTTTTGGGTTGTAAATGATGCCCGGGTAGGTATTAGTACTTACTTAGTAAAAGTAGGTAACTATTTAGATAAGTACCTTTTATCCAATCATAATACCTACATAGGTACCTATTGTGATTAGTTATACTGGGTAGGTATATTAATACCTACTTTTTACCGAATTACTAAACCTACTAAGATATTCTGGTTGGTTATTATGATTATTTTTAACTGTATACTATACTGATACTAAGCATAATTAACATTTCGACAAATATTATAATTTACACTATGAAAGGCTAACTGTATACTATACTGATAATATTGAATTAGCCTTTTATAGTGTAAATTATAATATTTGTCGAAATGTTAATTATGGATTCGAACCTTACATACTAATGGTGCTTCATTTTCTTATTTGCATTTACTTCAAAGAAAACACACGCAAAAAGCTTCATCGCTCAGTAAAAAAACACAACAAATATATGTATAACTAATACGAAAAATTATACCCAAAACAAACAAATAATACTACCTATAAATAACCTAATAAGTAATAATAATATTATTGACTGATAAGATGACGTGAGCGAGCGTGTGCGCTGGCCAACGCCGTGACAAACGACACGGAGCTTAGCGCTCACTGACTCCAGTAACCCCGTGGGCAGTGAATACGCCCGGTTTTTAAAATAATTTCTCAATAAAATCAAATTTTGGTCTTTTGAAAAAAAATTTATAATAGAAATGTTCATTAATAAATTGCCTATCCATTAGTGTCAATCACAAAATAAAATAATGCTTACTTTACGAGGAGATGCATATTATCAATAATTATTTCACATTTATGTGGTTTCGTTGTAAGGAGATTATTTTAATATTTATTCCTTTAAAAAAAATTGAATATGACTCTTATGGAATCAAGATTATGTAGAAATATAATGTGTTTTTTATTAGTTGATATATCTTTTAAATAAAAAGTAGATAG